TCTGTTTGGTCTTTGTTTTTCCTCTTGGTCTGTTTGGTCTTTGTTTCTCCTCTTGGTCTGTTTGGTTTGCCATTTTCCTCTTGGTTCTTTGGTCAATTGATCTTGTCGTTTGGTAGGCCTGATACTTTTTGAATAAAAATAAGACGTTGTGAGTGAACATGTGAAGGTCATCTCTTCTTCATGAAGCCCCTGTCTCGAGTGGGCTGACCTTTGGTCTGGCACCTGTTGGCTCTGGCAGAACACCTGAGTTCAGTCTGAGCTGGTTCAGGTGGGGCCAGTCTTACTTCTGCTTCTGCTAGGGAGCAGCCTCGCTTAGACCCAGCGTTGGCCACAAAAGCCTGAGTGCCTGGCCAGAGTCCCTTCCCCTCTCAGCTTGTGAGCTGACTTGGCTTCACTTCATGTTGGTGGTCAGTCCCCAAGACCACTGAAATCTCTCTCCACTTTCCCAACCTCTTGTCTGTGACCTGTGAACTGCAAATGCCTCAGGAAGAAAATCCAACAAGTAGTGGTCCCTGCTGTGTCCCCTGTGACGGGTGATGGGGATTTGGTCCCTCAGGCTCAGCTCCTGGTGCGTCCTCTGGCTCTCCAGTGGAGATTGCATTAGTTAACCAGGTTCCTCATTTTTCTCAGATGGTCAGTCTGATAAGAGCCCACCGCCCCCATGAAGAAGCAGAACTCGACAGAGCATTTTATATGGTCTAAGGAAAAGTGTGAAACTGGGCCACAGGGGGGTTGGTAGGAAAAGCAGGTGCCCAGGACAGCGGGTGGCAGGGCAAATGGAGAGGTGGCCCAAGGAGGGCTAAGGCCAACAGGCAGTCCTGGCTCTGCAGGTTCAGAACCTGGACCCATAGCCCAGGAGGCTGCCTGGTGCCCCAGCGGGGAGGGCACAGCCCACCATCCTGGCCTGAGGATGGAGGCCTGCTGCCCCCAGGCACAGGGATGGGGTGGACAGGGCCACAGGGAGGAGGCAGGGAGAGGTGGAGGGATGAGGACCTGTGCAGGGCTCAGGGTAGGCTCAGGCTGTCCAGCTCCACACAGCCATGAGGCCCCGGGCAGGGCACCAGGCGCCCTGGACTCTGGGTGCTCAGTACAGGTGCCAAGCGTCCTACAGTGGTGACGAGCCCTGGGGAGGGGTGTGAGTCACAGGTGACACCTCTGTGCCCAGGCTTCCCTCCAAGGGAGACAGGCCCAGAAGCTGCTGTCCAGTGGCTGGAGGGTGCCCCACAGCCCAGGGTGGCCAGGCTCCTCCCACACACAACACCCCAGTACTCACTGCTCCCGGAACCCACTCCCGCTCCAGGGCCCGACGCTGGCAGGACATTAACGAGCTGGACAGCCTCCCAGGTAAACAAGCATCCCCGTGACAGCCAGGAGCCGGCCCAGCAACACGGAAGGAGAGGCTATGGGCTGGGCACCACAGGGACCAGGCAGGTATAAAAGCCAGAGCCCAGAGCTCCCCACACACACCCACACTCACCCACCCTCCTCCAGCACACCCACCCACCCTCCTCCAGCACACCCACCATGGCCGCCTCCACCATGTCCGTCTGCTCCAGCTCTTGCCCAGAGTCCTCCTGGCAGGTGGACGACTGCCCAGAGAGCTGCTGCGAGCCCCCCTGCTGTGCCCCTAGCTGCTGCCAACCCAGCTGCTGCCAGCCCAGTTGCTGCGCCCCAGCCCCCTGCCTGACCCTCCTCTGCACCCCAGTGAGCTGTGTGTCCAGACCCTGCTGCCAATCAGTCTGCACCAGCTCCTGCACCCCCTCCTGTTGCCAGCAGTCTAGCTGCCAGTCTGATTGCTCCAGCTGCTCCCCCTGCCAGCCATCCTGCTGTGTGTCCCTCTGCTGCAAGCCCGTCTGCTGCAAGCCAGTCTGCTGCAAGCCTGTGTGCTGTGTGCCTGTCTGCTCTGAGGCTTCCTCCTCCTGCTGCCAGCAGTCTAGCTGTGAGCCCTCTTGCTGCTCCTCTTCCCCCTGCCAGCAGTCCTGCTGTGAGCCCTCTTGCTGCTCATCCTCCCCCTGCCAGCAGTCCTGCTGTGTGTCCCTCTGCTGCAAGCCTGTCTGCTGCAAGCCTGTCTGCTGCAAGCCCGTGTGCTGTGTGCCCATCTGCTCTGGAGCCTCCTCCTCCTGCTGCCAGCAGTCTAGCTGCCAGTCTGACTGCTGCAGCTCCTCCCCCTGCCAGCCGTCCTGCTGCGTGCCCGTCTGCTGCAAGCCCGTCTGCTGCTACAGACCCTCCTCCTGCGTGTCCCTGCTCTGCCGCCCCGTGTGCAGGCCCGCCTGCTGCGTGCCCGTCTCCTCCTGCTGTGCCTCCTCCTGCCAGCCCAGCTGCTGCTGCCCGGCCTCCTGCGTGTCCCTGCTCTGCCGCCCCACCTGCTGCCGCCCGGCCTGCTGTGGTGTCTCCTTGGGCCAGAGGTCCTGCTGCTGACCGGCTCAACATCCTGCTTCTGCAGGCCACTCTTGTTCTCCTAAGCAGGATTCTTCACTCAGGAATCCCTGATACTGGGAGCCACCAAGACCTCCCCTCTCCTGCTTGGTGGCCATGCAGCTGCTGCCTGAAGGAGCTGCTCCCTCCCTCCCTGGGGAGAGAGGACCCTCAAGTCCCTCTACCCACAGATGGCACTCTGGAGCCTCTTGTCAGCATTGCTCTCTTGCATCCATGTGACCAAGGTCAAACGCTGAATCAATAAAGCCTTTCTCTAGGAAACACAGCCTCTGTGCCTTTCTGTCTCTCCTGAGCCCGTGGCCTGCTCCATGTCTGGGCTGTGGGTCCCCTGTCCTGTAGGAGCTGAGCAGCTCTCAAATTCAGACTCACAGCACTTTAGAGACAAGGATCTGGAAGCAGAGGTACCGTCCCCACTTCCTTCCTCGGCCCCGGCGGCCACTAACAGGGTCACAGAGGAGCTGCGAGAAGCAGGAAGTCGGCAGGCGGGGACCTCCAGAGGTGACCAGGACAGCAGCCAGGGAGGGAGGCACCTGCCCAGGGAGAGCCTGCAGACTGCCCCCCTCAGGAGTGTGAAGACATTCCTGCTCGGAAACTCCCAGAGGGCCACAGGGGCCACCTGGACTCCAGTCCCCACTGGAGGTTCCAGGCTGAGGAGGCACAAACCCTCAGGAAGGCAACAGGTGGGGTAGGAGGCATGGGGCGGGCCGTGGTCTCCGTGGACCTGTAGCCTGGACAGCCAGGGGGCAACCGTCAGACCAGCCAGGTCAGCAGGGGCACCCCATGTGGCCCCTGTGACACAGATGGGAAGAGTCCTGGGAACCAGGGAAGAGTGGAGTGGGGTGGATGGGACCAGGAACAGAGGCCCCCGGGACAGAGTTCTGCAAGGTGCTCCCCAGCCGAGCTCACCCCCAGGATGAGGGGCAGCAAACCTAAGAGGTCCTCCACAAGGTGGCTGAATTGGAGCTGCCCGGTGCTTTCCAGGGTCCACCGCCATGTGAACTCACACTGCGTCCTCACACCTGAGTCAATGTATTTTCCTCATCAATCTTGTTTAATCTAACCATAGAGGTTTTACACTCCGTTCAGAGGCCAAGTTTTCAAGGGTGAGCTCTCAAATACATTGGAAAATCTCCTTTTACAAAATCCTAAAAAGGACATAGTCGTGGTGATGTTGGGAATAAATCTGATGGCCATCGAGGGCAATGGCCAGCCAAACCTCGGATTTCAGCGCCCACCACCTGACGTTTCCAGGGGTACAGCCCCTGTGTTCAAGTCACAAAGCAAAAGTCTGGAGGACTCTACTTGAGTCTCTCAGGTTAGATCCATAGAGGCTTCATAACCATCTGTAGTGTCACCTCCCTCCTGGGGAGGTCACCGCCAACAGCCACAGAGCCTCGTTCCTGTCTGTGCATGTGGACCCCTGGGGGTGGCGCTGAGTCTGCGTGTCTGCTGCACCCACAGGTCAGCTGCATGGCGTCCAAACTGCAGGTAGACAAAGGAGCGCTCATAAATCAAAGTTTAAATGAAAAATGGATCCAAATACCTTTTAGTTCATGAGACTTTAAAAAAAAAGTTCAGTTTAAGTTATCAGATGAGAGTAAAGTTGTCTTTAAAATTACTAACTCACAAGGTTTTCTAGGGGTCAGACAATTAACAGAGTGTTGCTTTCTATAGAACGTCTAGAAGGTGATCCCCAGAGCTTCTAGGATTTTTCTTCAACAGGAACGAGATGCTAGTGCTGTTGACTACACTTGTCTGAGATCCTGGTTTGTTTGGTTGGGTTTTTTTATATTTATTTTTTTAGTTGTAGTTGGACGCAATACCTTTATTTTATTTATTTATTTTCATGTGAAGCTGAGGATCGAACCCTGGGCCTCACACATGCCAGGCGAGTGCTCTACCCCTGAGCCACAGCCCAGCCCAACATCCTGGTTTTTACCGTTTAAAAAAATAATTAGATTTGATATGAATGGTATCGATCTTCATAAATGTCTGTTTAAAAACTCTGATTAACTTACAAAGTACTAAAACATCAACTGCTAAATATAAACTCTTGACTTCTTAAATTCCATAAGGTAATATATTTAAACATCAAATGTGTTTTCATAAATTAGCAAATGGAAAAAATTTGAGATGGCTTTGTTTCTTGTCTTCACTAAAAACAAGGTTACTTGTTTGTTTACAGATGTAATTCTATTTTTTTTTTAAAGTTTGGTTTTTCATAGTCTTGGTCATAGTCACCCGAACAGATTTTAAATGTTGTAGTCAATCAATCACAGTTCTATAGCTGTGTTAACAAGCAAACTTCAGAATTGTTTTTTTTTAAGATAGATAGAGAGAGAGAGAGAGAGAGAGAGAATTTTATTTATTTATTTTTTAGTTATCGGCGGGCACAACATCTTTGTTTGAATGTGGTGCTGAGGATCGAACCCAGGCCGCATGCATGCCAGGTGAATGCGCTACCGCTTGAGCCACATCCCCAGCCCCAGATGTAATTCTATATACAAAGAATACAAAAAATTTCAGTTGAGTTTCAATTAAAGTACTACTAAAACAAAATATTTTATCTTATGGAAGTAGAGTAATTTGTCTAAATTCAACATTTCATGAGGATTTTTTCAGAATATAAATTTGAATAGGAGTGAAAGGCTAGGAAAGAGATATAAGAAGGTTCTAGGTATGAAAATATATTTAAATATGGAAAGTAAAAGAAAAAAGTTTTCTGGATTAAAAAGAAAAAGTCTTTTGTGTAGTAAGGTAAAAATTTGTAGAATTAGTAACTTGGAGAAGGTTTGTAGCAGGGAAATCTCAAAAGCCTTTGTGTGTAACTCTATTGGCTCCCTGTAATTAGCACAATCAGTTGAAGTCACTGAAGGCCTTTTCCTAAGGTCAAATATACACATACTGATATAAACCAAAGTTAATCCTCTATAGGTCGAAGTTACAAGAATTTCCTAAAACATGAATCTGCTCTTATCTATAAAGATAATTTCTTATGTCTGTTATGTTTTATTATGTAGAGGAACTAGTCTGAAAGGAATTAGGGTTTGTACAACTCTGGTAAATAACAACTGTTATTTTAAAGTATTACGCTACATTCCAGATTCCAAAGTTTTCTTTAAAGGCCAAACTTGATTAATATAAAAACACCAGTATCATTGTGGTGCTGTTACCGGCTTCTTTGTACACTAGATGTATTCGTATCTTCCAAGTAGAGAAGTCTTTAAAATATAAGGTTTAGGAGAACATTTTACCAACCTGGTGTTCTTCAAACTAAAATTTAAAGTCAAAATTGGGGATCATAAACATTATGTTTCTTGGTTCATACCTATTATTAAAAAAAACCAATATGTTTTTACTCTTGTTAATTTCATTTTATATTTTTCTTGTAAACTTTATAACTATTGTCAGATCATGCCTTACAAAAGTACAGCTTTCAGTAGAAGAGCCTGAGTTAATCAGAGATAACAGGCATCAGCCACAGGACAGATAGGAGGTAAGGCTAACTTCCAGTACCAATGCTGACCCCAATTAAATAGAAGGGGTAAATGACTTAAAATTACAGACGTTAAGACTGGTGAAACTGCTTGCTGGATGTTTAAGACCAAAACCTGGAGACTAAGTTTAAGGAAGTAAAAGGTCCAAGAAAGAAAATAGCCAATACTTGGCTCTTGCCCCCTGAGGTCAGCTCAGACCCAGGAACAAGGGGACTTCTCCAAGGGCTTTGCGACTCTGGGCCACATGACCTCCCAAACAGGGGGATCAATGAGACCCTGGAGGACAGAAAGCTGACCAGTGCCCATGCTGCAAAAGAAGGAGCACTGGGGAAGGGGATGTCCCTCTACTTCCAAGGAAATCCACGTGGTCAAGGAGACCCAGACCCATCCTGGAAGCTGGCATTAAAGGAACAAAGAGGCTTCTCTCAAGTTCCCAAGAGTGACCCCGGAGGAAACTCAGCTGACTCATAACAGATGGGAACCATGTCAATTTGAGCAACTTGATCTTAAACACTAGCAAAGCCGTTATAACCAAAACAGAGCCATGCCTGAGCATTTAAAAGAAAACACAACAGTTCTTTTAATGAAACTTAAGATGTCCACTTGTGTCAGCCACAGCAAGAGTAAGTAAGATGGAGGCTATAAAAGAGGGCGTCTTAGGACTGCCCCTACGGGCAATGTAAAAGATTTACATTCCCAAATAGAGGCCATGTCCTCACTGGCCCTATTATGGGACCAGCTTCTCTGGTGAAAGATTAGTGGTTTCCATCATCTTCCTGATATTCACTGTCCAGATGCTGCAACATTTATTTTGTATTAATCTTGCTCCAGGACTCATGCATTTTTGTTTCTCTCATAGAAGCACCCACCCCCAGATCACTTTACAACGTATTCTTTCCAAACCACAGACCCCTCAACTAACCCAAAACATTCCTAAAGGGAAGCCCAAACTGCTTGGCCACATTGCTCCCTCTCAGTCTGAAGCAGCCAGAGCGGTCATCGCCCATTTCCCCTAGGAGCAGCAAAGGTTCCCTTAATTAGAGGGGAGAATGAGACAGGGCAAAGGACCAGTAGCTGGTTGTCAAAAGAAAAGGAAATGGGCAATAGCACTCCCCATCACCAACGCTCTGGCTCAAAATACTTCAAGAGCCCTCTGAGATCAGGAGGCTATTAATAATCAACTTGAAGCTAAGCTGAATGCCTTAGCGGCTATTGTAGTGGGCCTAGGTGATCAGATGCAAAGTTTTAAGGTCAGGCAACACTTACTACGCCATGTTACTCTCTGTTGTGTAACACCTGTTCCACACAATAGCTGCCAATGGGATTGGGGGAAGAGGCATCTATTAGGAATTCGGAATTATAACAATGTGAGTTGAGATCTCTGCCACTGCACCATCCCATCCAAGCCAAGCAGGAAAGCCAGACCCATGTTATCTCCTTCCAGTTTTGCAGAAAATCTCTGGGATGACCTAAGTGGTTTTAGTCCTTGGAAAATGTTAAAGAATACTGTATGGTATCTCTTAAGACTTATTTCCTTGCTCTCAATTCCATGCTTTTTTCTCACAGTGAACTGCCAGCTTGTCCAATACCAGTTCCAACACCTCCAAGTAGACATACATCGTTACAGTAATAATTAAAAGTGAGGTGATGTGGGGAGTGGATGAGCTGCGTCATCAGCTGATCTGTGGTGTTCGCAAAGCCACACCTGGGAAACCCTCCTTGCCAAAGGCAGGATGTGTGAAAAGCCTCGACCCTCGGCTCTGA